ATTTACGTGAAAAGGGAAAGACCATCTCTGAATCGAGGAGGGGCCTAAGGGTACATCTGTCTCCATCTTACAAAGCTGTGATTGCAGCCATTCCCCAACTCTCTGTGAATGGGACTCATGGCTATTGATCAGTGGTTGTTCAATGATCATGACAAATTGTATATTAATGATTAAGGAACTGACCTCCCAGCCCATTGTTCCTTCAGTGGGCTGGTTTCAGTCATTATGCAAATGTCCTGTTTATAAGATTGAAACCTGCAGTCAGCTGAGACTGAAGACGTCACCTGATGATGACGAAACGTTTCTCCCACTGAAAACATCCAGATGAACAGAATCAACTTTTGCGGAACGGAAAAAATTACTTATAATTGAAAGCACAAAATGTTGAATACATGAAATAATTAAAAATAAAAGCTAAACAGATTTATAAATAACACACTGATTTTATTTACATACTGCATAGATGCTTATTTTCATATGTGACATAGAACATGTTTTAAAGAAATACCAGTAACTGGAGTAATTCAGACATTTTTGCATCTGTTAATAAATTCAAATTATTCTTACAAAATATAAAGAATCAATTTTAAGAAATTTGTGTAGTTTCTATATTTTTAAAATCCAAAATACATTATTGTGACACCGTTAAATTACCACTAAATTACATTAAAAAAAGGTATAATTACTTTTGAAGTTTGTTTGTTTTTTTACAGCTGATTGTTATCAGTCATTACAGTCTTTATTATTTTTATGCTTTTACTCACTGAACTGGTTCTTGGCGACGAGTGGTTCAGAGATGCACGGTAGACCACAGCCATACTTGTTTTCAGCAGTGACTTTGAAGATGTACTCCTTCCCTTCGATGAGCTTGGTGACGGGGCAGCTGGTGCCCTTCAGGGTAGAAGTGACGGTGATCCAGCCAGTCTCGTCCTTCTTGTTGTCTTTCTTCTCCAGGATGTAGTTCAGGATCTCGCTGCCACCATCATCCTCAGGAGGCTCCCAGTTACAGATGACCGACGTGTTCCTGATCTCATCAAAGGTGACGTTAATCGGAGCACCAGGTTTGTCTGCAATACAAGACAGTCAAGCCAATGTTTAATCTCAACGGCATTTTGGAAATGAATAATTGTTTAACTCCGCTAGCGGCTCTGTAGTAAACATGTTTGCCTAATCGAGATTGTTGAGGTTTTTTCTTTGATATTGCACTCCCTACCTGAAAAGTGGTTTGAGCCAACTGTTGTTAAGAATTGGTTCTATAAGAAAAAAATCTGAACTGAACTCAATTTCTGAATCAAACTTGGGAGAAGAAAGAATCCCAGGTAGGCTTATGTCAGAAACACTGTCCCAAAATTAAATATGTGGATCTGTTGTGATTCCTTGCATATAATGGAGAAGCTCAAAGACGCTTTTAATTGTATGAATATACCAGTTATGAAATATAATCATGTGGCCTCCAGTTAATCAGTAAACTTTATTACCTAGGACGTTGACGACGCAGGAAGCGGTGGCAACACCATGTGTGTTTTCCACCTTGATAGTGAAGTTGCCGTGATCGGTTCTGACGGCATCACGGATCATCAGTGCAGATTGTCCCTTCTTGGTCTGGTCTATACCCAGACGCTCACGCAGGGGAGTCACAAACTCCTCCTCTGGTTCTGGAACCTGCAGCAAGAAATCAGAAAGGTTGAAACACTTGAAACATTCAGGACTTTCAGATGTCTCAGTGAAGACACAAACCTTGGCTTTGGTCTTCTTCTTCTTGATAACAGGAATTAACTTCTTGGTGGGCTCTTTGGTGACATCCTCATCATTTCTCAGCCAGGAGATTTTGGGATATGGGGAGCCAGAGATGTAGGCGTCAATGCAGATCTCCTCACCTTTCTTGATACAGAGCCCAGATTGAACACGGGCGTGCAGGGTGACCTTGGGTTTTTCTGCAAGGAATGAACAATTTTGACATGTTAGCTCTAACATAAATACACATTTACTTGTGACAGTTACTGATGTTAGCGCATCTGACTTTCACACACCAACAGGGTCTGCAGCCTTGATGGGCTGTGAGCTGCGTGACGGCTCGCTGACTCCGGCAGCATTCTCAGCTCTGACCCTGAACTGGTACTCCATGTCCTCCTTTAGGCCCATCACCACGTAGGAGAAACCAGGAACCAGGCTTGGTGTGACCCTCTCGTAGCGGTCGCCGTCCTTCTCGATCTTCTCTATGATGTAGCCCTGGATGGGACAGCCGCCATCGTAGTCTGGAGCCTTCCAGGTGACTGTGATGGACTTGGACGTTGGGTCATGAGCTTCCACTTGGATGGGTGGGTCTGGTTTCTCTGTGCAATCAATATTAACAACAGAGTCAATGTCTGATGTCATGATGTTCCAGTTGTTTATGCCTCATATTTTAGGAGTTCTGCTTGGACCCCCTGTCAGTTGTCCTGTATCAGAATCACCTGACTAAATCGGTCCTCATTTTTGTATTGATGGGACAGTTTATGAAGATCATTTCATTTTCAGTCCATTCCAATGTTCTTTTCCCTTGCAGCATACTTTGAAAAGTATTTATGTGCTTTTTCAGAATAAACTTTATCTGAAATGGTAATGTTAATGCTCAAAGCAATAAAACAGATTTTAGTTGTTGAACATAAAATGAAACTTACGTTTTATTTCCTCTATAATGACTGGGTTTTGTAACTCCAGATATTCTCCTGCTCCGACCTCGTTGACAGCTTTCACCCTGAAGAAGTACTCACAGTTGACAAAGAGATCTTTGACAGTACTTGTTAGGACATTTTCTCCCGACATAACGGGCATGTAAGTCTTTTTGGATGCTTCACGGCGCTCCAGGGTATAGCTGACAATGGGGGTGCCGCCATCATCCTCTGGAGCTTCCCAGCTGACCTTGCAGCTGTTCTTGGTGACATCACCGGAGGTGATAGTTTTACACTGACCAGGGAGTCCTACACAGTTTGGGAAAGAAGCAAAACTGTTTAAGAAGATTACTGCAGAGTGTCTGTGTCTGATTAAAAAAGAAATAGTGAGTCTGCTTGAGGACTTTTAGACTAAGAATGGATCTAAATCCAAACTTGGAAACTGTTGGTGGTAAACTTTAAATTTGGTTTACAGAGGACACCATTGCTGAACGGTGTCCTCTGTAAACCAATGGCATATTAACAGCATTATATGTCCTAAGCATCGAATCGCCTTACCGATGACTTTGACATTGACGGTTCCAGTGGCAGTTCCCAGACTGTTTTCCAGAGTGATGGCATAGGCACCAGCATCATCGCGGGTGCACTTGAGCAGCTCCAGGTGGGCGCTGTTCATCTCCACTGTCAGGGAGAGCCGGTCACCGGCCTTACACTCCACAGTGTCCTTCTGCCAAATCATCTTGGGTGTCGGGATTGCCCTGTAGGGAACATTCAGGTGCAGCTTCTCACCTTCAACCACTATCACGTCCTTTGCTTCCAAATCCATGGTTGGAGCACCTTGTGAGAAGAACACAGGATTATTACTTAGATTTGTATTATTGGTGCTTTAAGTTCACTTCTTCTGAAGTTCTTGCTTACAGTCAGGATCTTTGGTGGCGACCTTATCAGAGACATCAGAGGGATCACTGACTCCGACAGAGTTGATGGCCCGAACCCTAATGACATACTTTTTCTCAGGTTTGATTCCATCATCTATCCTGAACTTTAGCTCCTTGATGGGTCTGCTGTTGACCCTGAGCCACTTTAGCTCTGGACGGGCTTCTGCCACCTCCACATGGTACCCAGTGACAGGACAACCCCCGTCCTTGACTGGAGGCTTCCAGGTGACATTGATGTGCTCCCTGCTGGCATCAGGGATGACCACTTCAAGTGGAGGTGATGGTGCACCTGGAGAGGAAGGAGGTTTCATGCATTTATCTGCAGAAAGTCAACAACTTTTTGTCCTTATTTTATTATTGTTGGGGTTATTTTGGGGGGGATATCCCTGCTTAAATACACTGAGCACCAAAAGAATAAAGAAATACAGTTAAAAGTATCTTACTGGTTGGATCTTCAATGGTGAGAATCACGGTGGGTTCACTTGGATCTCCAACTCCAGCCTCGTTCTCAGCTCTGACCTGGAACTGCACTTCTGAACCTTCATCAACATCCGTTACCTTGAACTGAGTCTTTCTGTCCGGAGTTTTGCAGCACTTCAGCCAGCGAGTTCCCACCTTTTCTTTCTTCTCAATCACATACCTGTTAGGCAGATGGTGTTTGTCAAGTACAGCTCTGGAACAGTATGAGATAAACCACGTCTTTTGTCTCAATTTAGAGTTCTCTTACTGAAAGCCTGAATGCTAAGAAAGTCGCTGCTTTATGGAAAAAACCACCAAAAAGTGTCCCATAATTGTTCTTGTCTGAATGGCTTTACAGCAGTTTGTCTTACTTTGTTATTGGTCTTCCACCATCGCTATTGGGAGGTTCCCACTTCAGCTCCACATGTCTCTTGGTGACTTCCACCACTGTCAGTGCATAAGGAGGTCCAGGAGTTGCTGGAGAAAAAGTGAAACGCATTAACACGTAGAGATAGTGGTTCCTTGGGTTTCACAAAGAAGTAAATTAAAAAGGGAAGACCAATGCTGACTTAAAAAACTCACTAAAAGTGTCCTTGGCAAGAACGGCATCCTCCAGCTCGCAAAATTCACCCATCCCAACGGCATTCTCTGCAGCAACCTGGAACACATACAGCGATCCTTCATTGAGAGGGGTAACCGTATACTTCTGTTCCTTGACGGTGGTATCGACAGTCTGCCACGCCTTCCGCCTCACGTCCCTCTTTTCAACCACGTAGTTGGTGATGGGTGAGCCGCCATCACTGTTGGGAGGCTGCCACTTTAGGTCTGCGTTAATTTTGGTGATGTTCGCCACCTCCAGCCACTGAGGAGCTGATGGAGGATCTATTGAAGCAAACACAAAGACTTTTACTTTAAAAAATTAAATTCAAGGTCGTAAGGTTTTTTTCAAATGAAAACAACTCTTGATAGCTTATATTTTATAGTCTATAACCTCTACAGAAGTCATTTGCTGCCCACTGCTCACACTGGTATCAACTTACAGAGTCTCTCCTTGCAGACCACGGGGTCGCTGGGTTCACTGGGTTCGCTCTCACCAGCCTTATTGACGGCCCTGACTCTGAAAGAGTATTCTTGCTTTTCTATTAGGCCCTTCAGCTGATGCTCTGTCTGAGGAACATCCTCTGCAATCTTGATCCATTCCTCGCTTCCAGCCTTCTGGAACTCAATGATGTAGCCTTCAATCTTAGCCCCACCATCGTGCTCTGGACGAGTCCATCCTAACAGGGCTGAGGTCTTGGCAATGTCCCTGATGACAGGTTTACCAGGAGCCCATGGAGGATCTGAAGAAGAGTTATATGAATACTTTTATTTCCTGATCTTTGTGCTGTGCTTTGAAATAAGGAAATTATAATCTTGATACCACAACATCTTACTCAGCCTAAGTAGATTGACTGACATGTGACATACCAATAGGATCTTTGATGAGGATGGGATCAGTCTCTACACTTGGGTTTCCAGGTCCAGCTAGATTTTCAGCCAGAACACGGAAGCGGTACTTCTTCTTGGCGGTGAGACCCTTTACCCTGCCGCCCAAAATTCAAAGTTAGAAGCATACTTGACAAAAAAATGGTCCACACTGTTAGCTGAAGAACTTTCACCATCACTCCTGTCACTTGTACCTTCAGGTACTTAGTTACCTGAATGTTGCGTCCGTGATGGGCAGTTTGTTACATCTGATCCACTTGTCACTCTCCGGATCTAACTTCTCAATCCAGTATCCAGTGATGGGGCTACCGCCATCCTCGTCAGGCTCTAACCAGGTCAGAGTGACAGCGTCCTTGGCGATGTCAGAGGGAGTGATTCTGGTTGGAGGACCCGGAGGATCTGAAACAGATGAAAAATAAGAGGATTTATCTACGGTTCACCTGCACAGGCTGGAAATAAATCACCAGAGAGTAGTATAAAACAACGTACCGAAGGAATACTTGGCAGTGATTGGCACATGCTCTGCAGGTTCACCAATGCCATACTGGTTCTCAGCACTGACCCTGAAAATGTACTCTTTCAATGCTGTGAGCTTGGTGGCCTTGAAGGTGGTGTGCTTCACCGTGGCTGACAACTTGACCCAATCCTCCTTGTCAGTCTGACGACTTTCCACAATGTAGTTGGTGATGGGAGACCCACCATCATCTCTGGGAGGGTTCCAGGCCAGGACACAGGATTCGTTGGTGATTTCAGAGATATCTAAAGCAGCTGGAGGGCCCGGTTTATCTAAAGAAGAGGGGCTAAAATTAAAATCATAACCAAGATAATGGTAATGCAAGACATCTGGAGGTGCCACAACTCCTTAGCAGGCTCGGCGATATAGGATAACCCTATAAAATGGTCTGTCCAGTATGTTATGCTAAGATTATTTTCATATCTTTAATCAAAAAAGGAGATGCTTTTCCTATTTTCTGCCTAACCTAAAATCACCTGGTAGCATGAAAATCCTGTAGCTGTAAGGAACTATAGGATTTCTACAGTAAAGGAAGTTTACGTTCATGTTTTCATTGCCATCACAGCTATCTTTTGTCTTCTACGATAAGAAATCAGCTTTTGTACCCAGGATGTTGACATCAATAGTGGCAGTGGCTCGTCCACAGGCATTGACTGCCTCAATGATGTAGGTGGCGGTGTCTCCTCTGGTGGTTTTGTCAATGGAAACCTTCGAGTGTCCTGGCTGGGTGTCGATGGCAATGCGGTCATCAGCCCGCAGGACCACGTCTGCTTTGGTCCACTTCACCCGGGGATCGGGCTTCCCTTTCACATCTGCAGGAAGCTCAATCTTGCTGCCAGCTCTGGTGGTTAAACCAGCCAGCAACTTCACATCGAGCTGGATCTCAGGAGGTTCTGTAGGAATTTTTAAACATAGTCACAGTAGTCCCAACCTCATTACTGTGTTTCATTTCAATTTGTGCTTATATAAATATATGTTAATTTCAGTTTCCCCTCAATAACTCACAGCTGTCCAATATTTAATTTTACATGCAATAACCCAAACTGTAAATACATAACACCATTTATTTATGTATTTAATTCCTTTTTTCCCCAGATTTCTATATTTGTACATTAAATATATATATTTTTTCCTTTTTTCTAAATACTGTTCATGTGTATATAGTGCTGCAAAACTGTGTCACTGTATAGTGACAATAGGGGCACTCTATTCTCAGCAGATATATGCCATACTGCATTTTATTTGACTGAACTATATATAATTCTGCTTATTTAAGCCAATTAGTTTTGGAGAAATGAAATGTATCTTATATTATATTATCACAACTATGCCTGAAACCTTGATGGTAATATCCTTAAAATCCATACATTCTCACTTATTCTTTTATTTGTCATAAGAAAGATTTGCTCCTGTACCACTGAGAGATGCTGCACATTTCTGAGTGAGTCTGCAGAATCCATTCCAAAAATAAATTATACTGCTGCACTTTTTGTGCAGTATGTGGCTACAGCGTCATGTGACTGTCTGGAAGAGCACAAGCCGTCCTACCCTTAGCGTCCACAGCTTGGATCTCATCGGTAGCCCTGCAAGGTCGGCTGGCTCCCAGCTTGTTAAAAGCTCTGACTCTGTAGGCGTACCACTGGCCCTCGACCAGGCCTGTAACCTGGAACCTGTGAGTTCAAATCATATAATATATCCAGCTGTACCAAAATAAAGACAGGACACTAATAACGTGTGGCCCAAAAAACTTAACCGGCAGTTACAAGTTCTTAAGTCTTACTTGAGTTCAGGGATGGGATCACCGCAGGGTTCCCACTTGTCTGTACCACGCTGGCACTTGTCCACCACGTAGCCTTTAATATGGGCACCACCATCGTATTTTGGAGGCTCCCAGGACAGGAAAATGGACTTGGCACTCTTATCGCGCCACTTAAGGTTCTCAGGTGGATCAGGTACAGCTGCAGGCGAAAATACATGAATGTCAAACAGGTGAGATTCTAGTTATCTGTCAGTTTCTCCACTCAAAGACAATTAATTTCACATGAAGTGTAAAAACACTCACTTGCAGGAGAAGAGACACTGATGGGCTCATCAATGTAGGCTGGCTCTCCAGGTCCACACTTGTTGCATGCAGAGACGCTGAACAGATACTCCTTTCCTTCAATCACGTCTGTTACCGTGTGCTCCAGGTCAAGGACGCCAGCAGCCACCTGGAAAAATGTCACCGTCACTGCTGAGCAAATAAACTCAGACCTGGGTAGACTTCTGGATCTGTGAACATTATTTCACACTGTGGAAGTGATGTTTTCTGTTTTTAAAAATAAAAAAGCCAACATGTCACGTGCCATGTTTGAGCCAGGCCCTGAAACCTAATAACACTGCTGCTAACAATAACAATAACTTTATTTATAAAGCGTTTTCAAACAAAGTGCTGTACAGCGATTTGAAAATAAAGAGATAAATAAATGAAAGTGATACATAGCAACACAAGTTAAAAACATAATAAGAGTTAAAAACGATAAACATTTAAAAAACTAATAGGCAAAGAATTAAGACCTGTAGGATAGGCTGAACCAGTGTGTCTTCAACTTAGCTTTAAAACCCTCCACAGAGCAGCCTGCCTAATATCTTGAGGGCGGTTGTTCCACAAAAATGGGGCACAAAAAGAAAAAGCTCCCCAACTGTCTTTTTTCTGGCTCTAGGAACCTTTGGAAGGCCAGAGTCCTGAGATCGGAGCGCACGAGATGAAACATAAAGGTGCAAAAGATCAGAGAGGTATGAAGGTGCCAAACCAGTGAAAGCCTCGTAGGAGCAGCAGGACCTCAGAATCTGCTCGAATGTGCTCAAATTTTCCAGTTTTAGTTAAAATGCAAGCAGCTGCATTTTGCGCCATCTGTCAACCTCTAAAACTTTTCTTTGGTAGCTCAGAAAGGAGCTGCACATTCATGTATTATTTTTAGAAGGCGGTTACTTTTTCACACAAAACCAGGTAATTCACTCAGTTTACATTTTGTGATGAGCTGAAATATTTTTATTACGTACAGCGCAAAGATGACATTACTGAAATGAGCTGAAAGTACCTTGGCCCATGTCTTGCGAGAAACTTCTCTCTTCTCAATCTGATAGTGTGTCACTGGACTTCCTCCATCGTGTTCAGGTGCCTCCCACATCAAGTGGACATGGTGACGGGTCACTTCAGCCACTTTGAAGTCCTTCGGGGCACTGGGGCATGCTGGGAAAATAAGATGAAAAAGACTTCCATCAGTTTTCTTCTTTTGGGTTTGTTTCTAGATGATTTGGGGGTAACAGGCGTCTCTGCACCACAATAAAATGAGCTGTCTATTAAAATAACCACCATCATTGCTAAACTTGATCACATGGTCATGAGTTCTTACCGATGACGTTGACATCAATATCTCCAGAGACAGAGGATACGTCGTTCTCCAGCTGCAGGGTGTAGATGCCTTTGTCTGGACGAACACTAGGAGATATCGTCAGTTCCGTGTACGTAGGCTTTGTCACCATGGAGACACGCTCATCTGCTGGGGTCAGCTCCTTCTCGCCAAAGCTCCACTTGGCCACAGGGGTTGGGTATCCAGTAATGGGAACTCTAATTGTTAGAGGCTGAGGAACAATCACCTCCAGGCCTTTCCTGAAGCCACTCAGATCAAAGGTTGGACCAACTGCAAAGAGAGAAACATTTGGTTGTGAAAGCACACTGCCATCCAGTGCACTACTTGGATTTATAAAGAAGTGGTTGGTTGAGTTTATGCTTGTTGCACGCACCATGAGGATCATCGGCAAGCAGTGGTCCCAGCTGCTCGGCTGGATCGGAGACACCAGCGGCATTCTCAGCGCAAACTCTGTAGAGGTACTTCTGACCAGGTTTTAGTCCAGACACCTGAAGAAAACAACAAAACAATCCAGACCAGGAAGAAAAATGTAACTGCGCTGAGGTTAAATCAGAATAAAGGCAGACTCTTCAGGTTAGCTGCATACCCGGTAGGAGAGGTCAGGACACAGTCTGGCGTTGCAGCGGAGCCACTTGTCAGAGCCGTCCTCACATTTCTCAATGATGTATCCTGTAATCATGCTGCCACCGTTGTTTATGGGCGTCTCCCAGGTCAACGTGACTGCCGTCTTGATTTGGTCACTAAAGTTCAGGTTCAGAGGTGGGCTCGGCCTCTCTGTGGGCACAAGACATGAGCAAAATCAGACTGTTTGATATTTCTACACAGGATTTAGATAGAAACATTGAAAGTGAGCTCACCGATGGGATCCATGATCTTGACGGGGTTGGTGGCAGCACTGGGCCTGCCGATGCCAGCCTTGTTCTCTGCTCGGACTCTAAAGATGTACTCCTTGTACTCCACCACGTCGTTCAGCATAGCCAAGCGGTCGTCGGCAGCACAGACTAAGGCTGCCTCCCACTTAACAGATGTTCTGTCACGGAGCTCAATCACATAAGCAGTGATCTCAGAGCCACCGTCAAACTTGGGGGGCTCCCAAGTGATGGTGGCACCAAACTTGTTCACTGACTGTACTGCAACATTTTCAGGAGCATCTGGAACATCTAAAGTTAGGAAACAAAAATGTGACGGACATGATTAGGACGAGTGTGGAGATGGGGTTAGGATTAGTGGAGCGGGGATCTCGGGGTGTGGCTTACCAAACTTGTTTTTGGCCTGGACGGCATCTTCGGTTGCAACAGTGGGTCCGCTGCCAACCCTGTTTCGAGCACAGACTCTGAAGAGGTAAAAGGATTCCTTCTGCAGGCCACTGACGCAGTACTCTGGAGTGTCAGCACGGTCTGTAGCCACAGTCCAGGTCTTGCGCTTCACATCCCGTCTTTCTACAACATAGGCGATAATCTTGCTGCCACCGTCATTCTCAGGTTCCTCCCAGGCCAAACTGACCTCGCCATCAACAGTGTCAACCACTCTCAGGTTCTTGATGGGTCCCGGTACATCTGGAAAACCACCAGGACAACACTCAGAAACTCTGGTGATATCCTCAGACAGAGGACTGAGCAGTTATCTGATCACATGACTCTAATTTACCCTCCAGACTCACCAATCACATCCAGGTTGATAAAGGCTTCACCCTCACCATGCTTGTTCTTAATTACCACCTTGTACCGGCCCTGGTCCTCCTTGGCAGGGCTCTTCAGGCGGTACTCGGTCTTGTCCAAAGAGGTGTCAATATTCTGGACAGGAAGACTGGTGCCTTCAAAAAACCACTCGGCATCAGCACGAGGGTACGCGTCATAAGGCACAGTCATGACAAAGGGTTTACCGGCATCTGTCACCAGGTTCTGGTCGGTGGTTTTAATCTTTGGAACAGCTGCAGGAGAGACAGAGGAGAAATTTGTACTGTTTAATTCACCCTGCATAACACAGAGCAGTCCAGACTGGTGAATATTATCTTAAACTGCTTGTTATGCTTTGCATCTATAACTAATTTCCCAAAACAACTTGGATTCTTCATAAAGTGTCAAGATAAGATTTGTTTGTTTACAACTTTCTAAAAGTCTGTTAAATCAGTGATTTCTTTAACATTTCTTGAAATGCGTTTCACTTCCTGTTTTCATGTGAAGTTGACTCACCTGCCAGCTCCAGCTTGGCCCGGGCATCCTTGTCTTTGGCCACGATCCTGTACTCTCCCTGATCTCTGGGTCTAATTTCACAGACCTGCAGTCTGTGGACTTTACCCTCGCTGATCATCTGGTATTTGTCTCCCTGGACGATGATCATGTTGTTCCTCATCCACTTCACCTCCACCCTGTCTTTGTTGAGCTCCACCTCAAACACGATGTCTGAACCTGGAGGTTCGAACACGTCCTGAGGTGGTCTGATGATTTCCACTGGGGTCTCTGCGGAACATAAAAACACATCTCACAAGAAGATTCGTCGAGTAAATCTTTGCTTTTGAAGACAAAAAGAAACAAACATCTCACCTTCAACAAAGAGCCTCGCTCTCGTCCTCCTCTCATCCACACCACAGGCGTATTCACACTCGTCATCAGGCCTGCACACCTTAATGATCAGTCTGCACGTCTTTCCTTCTTTTTCCATTTGATATCTGTAAAAACACAACAAACATCAGGAACTTGGTACAGTCATGTATATGATACTATAAGACTTAGATAACAGCATCAGTTGTGTAATTTTGCCTCAGTACACCACTGCACTTTATTTTAAATCAAAGGTAACAGAAGGTCCCAGAAGCTTCAGGCTTTTGTAATCCTCTGTCATGACCACGTGTCCCAAATTTTAACTTTCTGAATATTTTCTTGGTTGATTAGCATTTGATTTGTGTTCCTTTGGATCGAAACAACAGCAGACGTAGATCTGTCATACCTGGGGCCCGCTCGAATCTCTCGTCCTTCCCTGTACCACTTGACGGCAGCTTTCTCTTTGCTCAGCTTGCAAGTGAACTCTGCATCCTCGAACTCTGTAATGGTCTGGTCTTTGAGCTGTGCCGTGAAGTCTGTGGGTGCCTCGCTAATGATCAGCTCAGCTGCACATTTGTCATCTCCGACCACGGCCGTGTACTCGCCCTCGTCTTCCATGATGCAGTCCTTAATGGTCAGGCTGTGCTTCAGGCCATCGACTCTGTAGACGATGCGTTTGCTGAGTGTCACCTCCTGACCAGCCTTCAGCCACCTCACCGTCGCCCCGGGCCTGTTCACCTTACAGACGAAGCTGATGGTCTTCTTCTCCTGAGTCTCATTGTCCTCGATGGGCTCCAAGAACCTCAGTTTCTCCTCTGTGGAGGACCAAATGATTTCAGGGTGAACGTAAAGAAACAAAGGAGGACGTGCAACAAAGTCACTGAGCAAGAAACGGCTGCTTTAGATCAAACGTACTGACACCCTTGGAAGAAACAGAACTTCAGTTATTCTGAATTCTTCAGATGACAGTGAATCATTTGAATTTCACAGATTTTCAGCTTTCTTTGCTTTATAACAAAGCTGACACATCCATCTGTCTTTCAGAGTCACGTCTGCGATTACTGAGAACAGGTTTAGGACACTGACCTGCCAAAAAGATGCTATAATATTAAACATAATGGAGACAGCCGTTGTATGAACTCGTAAATATGTTTCAACATTACTGTGAGCCATATACAGATAATAAAATGAGGCTGTGTGTACAGTAGAGTCACAAGAACAACTAAAAAAAGCACTCAGCACTCAGGAAACTGGCCCTGGTTTCATTAAAGAGTCAAATCCAGCCTGTAACTTCACTCAAATACTGTTACTGTCCACTTACCTGCCACTTTAGCGCTGGCAGTGCACTTGGCGAGCTCTCCTCTGTGATTGGTCAGGCTGACAGTATAGACGGCCTCATCAGCCTTCTGGGCGTCTCTGATCCTCAGAGAGAAGACGTTGTCCCTTTGAGCCATCATGTACTTGCTGCTCTCAAAAATGGTCTCCTCATTCTTCAGCCACTTGGCCTTCGCTCCTTCCGTGTTGGTCTCGCAGTTAAACACGATCTCGCCTCCCTCCTTCACCTCGGTGTCTTTGATCGGAGTTATGATCCTCAGTTTTTCTAAAATAGAATTCAAACTTAATAAAACCAACCCTGCATTCTGAAATCTGTAATAAGATATGACAATAAGACAATAAGTGTCTTACCGATCACCAGCAGATCTGCCATGGCTTTAACAGTGCCAATGTGTGCAGTGTAGCCTCCCTCATCCTTCAGCTCACAGCTTTTCACAATAAGAGCTCTTCGTTTTCCTTCACTGATGATGCCGTACTTGTCTCCAGTTTCTATCTCTTTGTCTCCTCTGAACCATTTTACTTCGTAGGTGTCTTTGGAGACAGAGCAGGAGAACTCTGCCTTCTCGCCCTCCACCACTTCCTGGTTCTGAGGCCGGGCGATGAACTCAGCTGCCAGCTCTGCAAAGGAGAAGAAGACGGAGTTAAGGTTTGGTGGATTAGTGGATTTCTCCAAGTTCTTTGTTTTGCTCTTCAGGTTGCTTTAGAAATCATTACAAAGAAAATACTTTAGAAAGATAAGGACTCGGGTAGGTAATTGGTGACTTCAGTTTCTTCTATAAAATCAAAAAGTAAGCGACGTTTTTTACCGTTGAGTTTGAGCGTGGCGGATGTCCTGATGGTGGGACTCAACCTGCAGTTGTAATCACCAGCGTCCTCCATCCTCAGGTCCCGGATGATCAGGATCCTTTTGCGTCCGTCCGTCTGTTGTTCGTAGCGACCTCCCTCTGGGAGCTCCTCGTCCCCTCGATACCAGGTAACCTCAGCGCCGGCCTTCGACACTTCACAGATCATCTTCACGGTGTTCGTCTCTGTTCCCTCCACGTTGGACAGGTTCTTTGTAAACCTGGCTGCCTCCTCTGAAGGAAACACGAGCACCAGGAGTTCATTTACAGAGAAATATCCATCTATTAAGTCAAGCCTAAAATCGTATGTTTATAGTTTTTACAAGAATATTTCTTCAGCAGACAAATTTCCTGCAGTGGTTAGAAAGCTGAACATCACCAGTGAACGATGTTTTATTTTCCAGCAGAACAAACATCTGTGGCTGACATGAATAAAAACGTCACTTTTTTTCTGATTGGAAGGTTGGTGAAACTGGAAATTCAACATGAATCAAACACATGAAATAGATCAGGGGTAGGCAACTCCAGGCCTCGAGCGCTGGTGTCCTGCAGGTTTTAGATCGCACCCTGGGTTAACACACCTGAATCACATGGTTAGTTCATTACCAGGCCTCTGGAGAACGTCAAGAAATGCTGAGGAGTCATTTAGCCCTTTAAATCAGCTGTGATGGATCAAGGACACATCTAAAACCTGCAGGACACTGGCACTCGAGGCCTGGAGTTGCCTACCCCTGAAATAGATGAATAATGTTCCTCACCGATGACGGTGAGTATGCCAGAGGTCTTGGAGGTTCTCGCGTCACATTCGTACTCGGCTTCGTCATCAAACGCAGACTTGTGGATGATAAGGATTCTCTGGACTCCCTTGGCGATGATCTCGTACTTCTTTCCTTTCCTGATCTCGCCACCGTCCTTGAACCAGCGAACCTTGAAAAATGACAACACAAGGGTTAGTCGAGAGCGTGAGAGCGGTTTCAGTCTGACCGACAGGACAGCAGCGTTTTCATCCTGCTGAGCTCACCTTGGCAGACTCACGAGAAACCTCACATTCAAACCTGGCAGACTCCTTCTCTCTGACCTCAACATCCTGCAGAGGCTTTGTAAACTCAACATACGGAGCTGTGAATGGAAAAGACCGCAGCATGAGCACAGTTATGCTTTACACTATGATCCAGATTCATATTTTAGACTATTTTAATGTTCAGCTGGAGGTGTGACAACAGATTTGAAAGCCTGGTTAAGGTCCTTACGTGTAACTTCCAGGAAACAAGAAGTCTTGAAGTCTTTGGCATCACACGTGTACAACTTGGCATCTTCAGGAGAGCAGTCGTGAATGATCAGAGCTCTCTTGCGTCCGTCCACGATGGTGTCGTACTTCTTGGTCTTCCTGAGCTCCTGTCCCTCCTTGAACCATCGTACCTCAGCAGTCTCACGGGAAACCTCACACTCCAGAGTGGCCGTGGCTTCCTCCTCCACCGTCTGATCCTCCAGAGGCTTTGTGAACTCAATCGGTGGCTCTAAAGGTACAGAGACAGACGTGGTTAACAGGTGATAACCGCAGCCTCCTGTTAGAAATGCTTTGTCCTCGATCCTCGGAGCCCGGTCTGAGCGAGTGCCGTACCTCTGACGATAAGTTGAGCCTGAGTCTGGAAGTCCTTGGCAGTAAGTTTGACCTCGCCGGCCTCCGACAGGTTCACGTCTCGGACGGTCAAAGTGTGAACTCGGCCCGCCACCCGAGTCTTCACCTGCAGAAACCGAAAACAAACCGACCGTTACACTTACACACAAACACGAGCTGAACGCGTTACCATGGACACAGATACAGGACGGTCGCTTAAATGATCATTATATATAATAATTACACTTATTCTGGTTTGTTTGTTAACAGGCGGCGAGTCTGAGTGATGACTGAATAACTCTGAGTGTCAAACTGATGAAATCAGGGAAAAATACCATTTTTATTTTTTATTGTCCACAAACTTCCAGCCTTGATTCACTTTGAGAAACTACATCATAATAAAATATTTAAGAATTTTCTGCAGATGTGTTTTAATAAATGAGTGAAAAACTTTGGTCATATCAACAGAATAAATTTCGCTTTACTAATTTATTATTCAGCTGATCGAGAAGCAGAAAGAGAAGAACTGCTCTCTTTCACACACAGGCAGGTTTCTATCACTGGGCTGCTTTTTCCACTTTTACCTCATTTTCTCCAGCAATGAATTAAACTCCTTTGTGTTTTTAAATAAAACTCATTTGTGATGTTTAATTCATAATTAAGCTTTATTAATTCATTATTTGGGTTCAGACACTCACCTGCTGAAAAACACTTTTCAAAAATATCCAAAAATTTAAAATTCTGAAAAAACGTCATAATTAATAAATAATAATAATAATAATAATAACAATAGTTTGTGGGGATAGGTTAATTGATGAATCCAAATTGCCCATAGGTGTGAATGTGGGAGTGAATGGTTGTCTGTCCCTGTGTGTCGGCCCTGTGACAGACTGGCGACCTGTCCAGGGTGGACCCCCCCCTCTCACCCTATGACCGCTGGGATAGGCTCCAGCGCCCCCGTGACAAGCGGAAGCGAATGGATGGATGGAATAATAATCATAATTGTTTTATTTAACAAAGCGCCTTTTGAAACACTCAAGGACACTGTACACAAGCAATAACAACAACAAACATAACAATTTACAAGATAATAAGGATAAAACGTTGAACAAATAGATAAAATAAATTAAAGTAGCAGGATGGAAAAGTTTATGTGGAAGTTTGAGTCTGGACTTAAAAAGAGGGAGGGAAGTGATGTTTCTTATCTCAGGAGGAAGGGATGCAGAGCAGCAGAAAGCCCTGCACCCCACGGTGGCTAGCCGGGGGGAAGGGATGGTGATCTGAACCAGAGCGGTATGAAGGCGAGAGATGATGGGTAGCCTTGAATTTGCACAAATGTATCTTGAAATTGATGCGGTATTTAACCAGAAGCCAGTGAAGCTGCTGCAGAGCAGGGCGATGTGGTGCATAGAAGGAGTACGATTTAAAGCTAGTGGAGTATGGGAGAGGCCGATGGAGGCTAGCCTACTGAGGAGAACTGAGTGAGAGATAGTATCAAAAGCAGCAGTGAGATCGAGGAGAATAAGAATGGAGAGTAAACCAGAGTCAGCTGCCACGAGAAGATCATTGAGTATTTTTATTAGTTTCAGTGCTGTGGGAGGAACGAAAACCAGACTGGATCTGTTCATGCAGATTATTATTAGTGAAGTATGAGTGGAGTTGTGTGGCGACTGTCTTTTCAAGAAGTTTTGATAGAAATGGTCAATTGGAGACGGAAATTATCAAAATTACTGGGATCTAACCCTGTTTTTTTTTCAGTATTGGGGTGATCACCGCAGCTTTGAAGGCAGCAGGAACAGATCCAGTGGTAAGTGAGGAGCAGATGAGAGCAGATATGAGGGGAAGCAGAGCTTTTGACTTACAGATGAGATCTGAGATATCAGTGACAGAGGGAAGCTGGAAAACAGAAAAACTGTGTAATGGGACAGGAAGGAAGAGCTACAGGCAACTTCAGACGGCAGGACTTGGTGTATTTTGAGGATTTTCTCAGAGAAAAATAACATTAGAGAGTCGCAAAAGGACGATGAGTAAAGGTGAGCAGGGAGAGGATCTGGTGCTCTAAAAGTTAAACAGTGAAAACAGCATCTTAGAGGAACCTTCGTTCGAACAAATAATGGTTTAGTTTGACTGATACATTCCTTATAATGCAAAACATGATTATTAATTCAAGCACATATGTTTAGAAACTACCAGGAACACAAAATGATCTCGACCTGCTGAGAAACGTTTGTTTATTTAATGGAGATGAAAGAATCTGAGGTCTTTGTGCAGATAAGGTGGCACTCGAGGGTCAGAGTTACAGATAAGAGCCGCATGTTTATCTCCCAGATATTTTTAGCTGCAGCCTCTGCAGACACAGAGAAACATCAAACATCACAAAGACAACTTGTCCTCATCTGCAAAACAAAACTCGTGTCTTTTCTTCATAATCCAAACTGGGATTGGGAAGAACGAATCAGAGCCTGGCGACCGTAAACGTGTCCTGATGACGATTGTTTAAAATCAGATGTGTGACAGACTCAGTGCAGGTCTGTTTGTGCTGTTTCCACTAAAAGGTCCCATCTCACATTAAAAAAGGTTTGTATGCTCGGATTTTCTAACCAAAGAGAAAAGTTAAAGTTTCCAAATCTGGAGTGAAAATGTTAAAAATGTGGGAACAGAAATACAAAACATATAAGCTTTCTTATCACAAAGACAGTATTTCATTAGATGCTGTCTGTGTGATTACAACAGAAACTATAAAATCATTTATTTTTGCACCGACTCGGTTTTTTGCAGGAAATTGCTAAAATTCTCAAGGCTTAATAACAGTAACGCTCTGTTATTTTTTTGTGTTTTACTGGATCCACACTAACTTTCTGTATTTCTGTTGTCCCATTTCTTTTCCTTCCTCTTTTGGGGTGAAGTAGAAGTTTTATGAGTGAGAGAAACATTTTGTTAAAAAGGAGGAAAAGCTCTGTGAGGGGTTTCTCCGGTGTGGAGTTACAGGAGAGGCGGGCGCTGCTGTGGTCAGACTCACCCGGTCGCTGGCCTCCATCCTCTGCCCTCCCAGGAACCACTCCACCGCGATGCCCTCGTACGACAGCTCGCACTCAAAGATGGCCGTCTCTCCAGCCGTCACCGTCACGTCCTTCAGAGAATGGACCAGCGTGATGGACCGAGCTGAGGGTAAAGACATGGTTAGCTCCTTCAACAAATGAAGATCCTGTGGTCTGGTTCGTGTTTCAGGTTTCTGCTCCTCCAATCAGAGAGCAGCCTGCCTTCAGATAAAGACTGAAGTGGTGAAAATAACCACAGGCCCTGATTGGCTGAACACTTACAGAGACATGCGACACCCGTGTGTGACAGAAACCAGGGCTGCTGCTTGTGCGTGCTTCAGCCAAACGGCACGGAGCTTCCTCCGTTTCAGAGACGTTTTGTCCATCGTTTAAAAAATGAGGGCTAAAATGACCTCTGACCTTTGACTCTGAGCTGGGCGCTGGATCTGGCGTTGGCTGCAGAGAAGTCAACAGGTCCTGCCATGTCCATGCAGACGTTGTAGAGGATCAGCAGGTGTCTGGTTCCTTCCTCCTTAATCTCAACATCCTGAGGTAAACACGAGCACATGAAAGTCAGCTGAACGTATCTTTGTGGTGATGAATATGAAACCGACTGCCAGGCGCGTCACTGCAGACTCACAGCTGACTGATGAAGAGCTTCTCCCTTCAGCTTCCAGTTTCCATGGACATCCTCCTCAGAAATCTCCGTCTCAAACTTGGCTGTTTCTGTCTCTGTGACCTCCACACTGTACAGCGGACGGACAACTTTGATGTCCCGCTCTGCAAAAGGACAGAAATCACTATAAAAACCAGCAACATCTTCACCCGTGGAGTGCCTGTTTGTTAAAGCAGTCAAATTTAACTTCGCTAATGATGAGGCTCTAATCTACAAAGCTGAGGATCCACCAAGAAACCCGACCGGTGCTTCTCTCCAACATTTCTACAGAGAGGGGACGATAAATGCTGACAAACCTCTGACAGCCGGTTGACCTCTGTGCTTATCAGAACAAAACATCGTTTATGTTCACATCAAAGGTCAAAGGTCACATCAAAGGTCTTCAGACAGCTGAACTGTAACTAACAAAGCACATATGCAGATACGATGGCTACAGATGCCAAATAATCTGTTTATTACCGTCTCAGCTCATTACCAAACACTTTGGTTTCTGCTTGTCTGTTTGTCAGGTCAAAGGTCAGACTGATTGTATTTACATGGACTTTTACCAACAGCTAAAAACTGAACATGTTCAGAGAATTTAGAGAAGCAGCATAAAGCATGAGAGCTGGGACAGATCCGTGGTTTACCTTCAATGTTGAGCTTAGCTGTGGTTTTGTCTGAGCCGCAGTCGCAGGTGTACTCTCCGATGTTGGCCTTCTCTGCCTTCCTCACCATCAGGATGCGCTTCTTGCCATCGGTGACAATGGCGATGTTCTTGGAGGGGGTGATCTCCTTCCCATCCTTAAACCATTTCACATCAGCTACAGCCTTGCTCAGCTCGCAGACCAGCTTCACCTCGTCCCTCTCCACTGCCGTGTAGTTCTGCAGCTTAGTGGTGAAGTAGGCGTCACCCTCTGTGTGGGGAAACGTACTTTCATTATGAAAATCAGGCGTCAGAGAAGCGTGTCTGAATCAGTTTGACAGGATGAACTCTTGGATGTTGGTGGGTGTGGCTTGCTGTCACCTGTTCTGTTTGTGTTTGCTTTGTTTACACCTGTTTTCTTTTTCTTTGGTTTTTAAATCAGAATGAGTTGTGATTGTTTTCATGTTTGTTCTTTCTAAAGTCCTGTCATCTGCTCCTATGTTTTTATGTCATTTGTTTCAAATGTGCTTTAGAAAGGAGGCACTGACCGATGACAGTGAGCATGGCGGTCATGCTCTTGTCCATGGCCTCTACTTTGATCATGGACGTGTCGTCGATGACGACTTCCTTGAAGGCCAGCGTGTGAACCTTCGCCTGTGCCGACATGTGAACAACTTTGCTGGGATGAAGTCGGACGTCGTTCTTGTACCAGACCACCGGGATCTTGTCATGTGACAGCTCCACGCTGAATTCAGCTGTTTCACGCTCCTTTACTGTCACATCCTTGATTGCTTTGACAAACTCTAGACGAATACCTGCCGCAGGAAGACATCAGACATTGGCACATTTAACTTTGAGTAGAAGCAGAACACAGCAGATTTGTATTTGTGACTCACAAACAAACAAAAATGAGCACCAGCTCTGTGTTCAAAGTACAGATGGACCGATCCGATATTACGTATCGGTATCGGTCCGATACTGACGTAAATTACTGGATCGGATATCGGAGAGAAATAAAAAATGTAATCCGATCCATTAAATATCAAAAAAGTCTACTCATAACCGTAGCACGTCGGAGCAGTGTGGTCACGTGATAGAGCGGCTGTGTGTATTTGTAGCCTCGCTACCAAACCAGCATTTCATCTCCGAGGAAGTTTTCCCAGAGAGAAGTAAAGCAAGTGTGTAAGTTCATCTCTGAATGTCTGAACCAGCGGCTGAACAACAGCAGCACTATTAAGCTTGATAAGCTGTTGTTAGAATTTATTTAATATTACTTTCTACACCAGGATCTTTTTCTACGTAGCTGACGGCTGGTAACTGTGCAGGGGCGGATCTAGCAAAGTTTAGCCAGGGGGGC